CTGAAGAAGGAGTGGCGTTTTGAAAGAACAAATTTGTTTCTACATTATATAATGAAACTTAACATAAGATTCAACATTTCTTGCCCATTGGTTCTTGAGAAGAAGATTTTTTTATGCAGTAAACCTGCCTACAGTGAACACGCTTATAATGAATTGCCGCTTACAGCGAAGCGATTTTCATTCTCCATGTCTTTAAAATAAATTGTAAACTGAATGAATATAAGCAATAAAACATAATGAAGCAAAATAGTCCGTCCCAGGCACTTAGTTATAAGCGTGTTTTACTGTACATTGATCCCCTATTGTGGCCACACCCTACCCCAGAAGGTCATGATTTGGGCAAAGTTGAATCTACACAAAGTAATGAAGTTTCAGACAATTTTTAACTTTTTTGGCCCAGTGGTTCTTGAGAAGAAGATTTTTAAAATACCATTAAATATTCTCTCATTCTTATCACCCCCTAAAAGAAGGGTTTTACCCTTCATGTGAAAAAATTGTTTTGCACAAGAAAAAAATATTTTACATGAGAAATAAAATTCTTTGTGTTTCTAAATATTTCATCACACCTCTAGTGGTTTCTTGTTATTTTAACTAAGATAATGATGATTTAATCCTGACTGTTCAATTTTGTACAAAGTTTGTATGATAATTATACCCTAAGGGATATGTTTACCTGTCTTCAACAAGTCAGGTTATTGTTCACAGTGAGTACTTTTCAAGCATAATTGATCGAGTTCATTTCTTCCTGTTGCAAATACTGATATTGAGCAAAAGGAGTTCCATGTGAAATTTTTAACAAACTACAATAAAAGACTTCTGGCTGTGTCCTTTTGTAATTGTAGATATAGATCAAAGACAAGCTAGCTCGTAAACTTTTTTTTTTTACATTTTTGGGAGGGATATCATTCTCACTGCAGTATGAATTAGTGTTAAATCAATTTTAAAAAAAAATGTCTTATAATTCCATTTTAATTTTGACTCAAATAGATGTTAGAGAGAGAGAGAGAGAGAGAGATTACCCCAGGTATATAGCCCCTATGCAAAACTTTATAAATTTGTGATAGAAAATGCTCAGAAGACACAATATTTGAAGAGCAATTGTTTTCATGCTTTATTTTCAGAAAATTCAAAGCTGAAAATTTTAAATTCATACCCATGTCAACATAGTGCAACTTCTATCTATATTGATAAAAAATGTACATTTACGTACAAGACCTATTTTAATTCTTAATCATTCTTAAAATATTTATATCACCATTCCTGATTCAAGGGAGAGCTAGGCATATGACCAAAATGTCCATGATCTATTGATTTAATAAATATGTATGTTGTTAGATCAGTAAATAATGATGACAAGTGGGAAACGGTCGGGCTAATATTAACAAATTTTAGGAGTTTTCAACATGTAAGACCATGCAGACATAACTCCTTCCCCTTTTCCCGCCCCCGGGCCGTTTATGTATTTATGTACAAATTATTTATAACTCATTTTGATATAAAACAAATAGTGAATAATACAAAAATGTACATATACACAAAGTTTAATGGATATCTCTGAATGATTTTTATTTTCTAATTCTAGGAGGGTGAGCTGTCCCTAAGGGGTCATGAATGAAATGTCAAGCAGATTAATTATCACTGACACACTTTTGACGCAGGTCATATTGTGTTCATTTCCAGTTTCAGGGTGCGGATGACTTCAAGGGGTCATAACCTTTATACCATTTAATGCATAATGACTCAAGGGATAATATTATATATGGTTAAGGGGAGAATGTTTTCAAGATATATGCTCATTTGTAGTTTAAGGGGTTGGGAATGATCTCAGGGGGCATGACCCTATATATCCTATTTAGTGTGTCATAATACAAAGATGACTTAGTGGCTTTTTGCTTTATTGAAAGCTATTTTATTGTTTCCGATTCCAAAGAGTGGAAATGACACCCAGGGACTTGCCTCATTGTATAATTGGGGTGTTCCAATGATCTTTGACCCTTTTCCAACTATAGGCCCCTTACCATTTTCATTTCTGATTATTTTACCCCGTTCTGTACATAACTTTTAAAACAATATATTCATAATGTACTTACCGCCTGTTATAGGTACTGTTTACATCATCGAATAATAAATCCATTTAAAACGCACACTAAATATTAATACTTCCGCTGGTAATAATGAACATACACCATGTGCAATCTACTGATAACAGTAAAAGTAGTGCTCGTAGTGTGACGTAATTCAATGCATGGCTCTAGAAATTTTCCAAAAAAACGTACATTTGTAAAATTTAAATTATAATTACATAAAAATTGTTTTATTTTTACATAAGTTTGTGTTATCTATTCCAAATGTAACAGGAAAACAGATGAATCGTGGGTGGGGGTTGATTTTTGACAATGTTGAACGGGTCAAGGTTTGGAAAGGAGTTCTCCCAAATACTGACAATAAATTCAACATGTTCCAATTATGGGCCAAAATTTTTTTTAAAACCTTTTATACACAAATCTTTCTAAATTATGCTCTTTAAGGTCAAGATCTAGTAAATGAAGGGAGCCTACAGATTTCTGAAATTTGAGAAATAAATTCCTTTAATGATGCTTTATAACCATAGCTTGGTCAAATAAGGTGTATAGGGGCATAAATTGTAGATAAACAATACGAAAAATCATATTTTATACTGTCATTTTCAATGAAAAATTAAGGAAACAAGTTACGAATATGGGAGATTTTCCATATCAGACAAATGAAAGGTATCCAGATTGCCTACAGTCTCTCAGAAAACGGTACTTTGTATGTTTTTAGCCTCTTCTTTAAAATAAAATCAAATTGAATATAGGTATCGGGATTAATTTTCACATGTTTTCAAATTTTCTACATAATTCTTTAGAGCCGTAAAGTACGGGAAAAATAAAGATGACGTCATAATGGATCTAGCACCAAAAAGACAGTCTAAAGTCATTTACTAGATCTTGATCTTAACAGAATTTATATTATCAAATTGTATAATATCAGACTGGTAACGAAATATTTACTTAAGACGCCCATATGGGCTGCATGTTCACCTGAGCATTTTATGCTTGATTTAAATGTGTGCATCTTCCCTGGTTACCAGAATTTAAAGGAGAGCGCATTGAGAGACAAACATCTTAGTGCAGGTATTACTGTCTTATGACAGCATTTAGTTGACATTGTGACAAAATCTTACAAAATTCTTCCACTTTACCTGGAACATATCATTCATATTACCGATTTGAATATCAATCTATGAGAAATATTGCTGATTTCTGTGAAAAAAAGTTTGTGTTAGTTATCCTTAAATCGGTTTTTGATTTCAATGAATAGTATTGTCATGGTTACTTGAAATTGAGAGCATTTTGAATATTCCTTCTTTTTTTTTTCTAAATGCCACTTTTACTGGTTGGTCTGATTTCAATCCAACTTGTAGTAAAGTTAACTATTTTAAGATAGATAATTCTATGCAACAGTTTTTGATTAAGACGAATGGTTTTCCCATAGTTACTTAAATAGAAAAATAGAAATTTCTTTAAAATGCTCTCAAAATGCTACTCCTCAAATACTTCTGGTCTGATTTTAATAAGCCTATGTGTTCAAATAGACTATACCAAGATACATTTTTTGTTTTAGTTAATGATTTCCAAAAAATATCTGCCATGTTACTAAAATAGAATCCTTTTTTAAACAAACACCAATTTTACATCTTTATTATAAGTACAGACCAGTAGAGTAGGGCTAGGATGGTACAACTACTATACTGAAATGTTTCTCGATATTTGTATCAATACACTACATATCAGGATATTTTGAATTAGTTATATAATCTTTTGTATTGAAATGAGCAAAATATTTCTTCACACTTAATAATAATTTATTCATAGAAGGCATTTATCTGTAGTAAAACAAATTTTTTAACAGAAATGGTTTTAATTATTATGTATTCATATTTATAGTTATATTTAACAAGTTCATTTTACATAAACCTAAAACGTTAAGTAAACAAAGAAAAAACAATTCTGACAATTTGTTTGCAATATTTCCACATTTTTACATATACATATATATCAATATGCGTATCGTAATCACAGAGTCAATCAATTTACATATATTGTCCCAGCCCTAAAGTAAAGCTACAGCCTCTTCAGAGACTCTCTTGGGCAAATATCCCCATGGTCATGTAACCCATCTCATTTAATAATTGTTCTAATATCTTAAAAATGTTTCTGATTCCAACCCTTAAAGCAAATATATTCTTGCTACACATGATATAATGCACTGAGCACCAATTTTTGTGCGTCGTTTTCAACCCCCAGTTGGCCCCTAGGGTGTAAAATGAAAATTCCAAAAATTCATTGCAAATCAACTGGACATCAGCAATCCTTTCAGAAAATAATTAGGCTATTTCATAAAATGTAACAGGAGTTCTGGAAACGAGGGTTTTTTGATAGAAAACACTTCGTTTTTTAACTCCCCATTTGACCCCTAGGGTAAAAATCAAAATTACAAAACCATATAACACATCTGCAGGACCCTCATTCATCCTCCAAAATATGATTTGGCTGTTGTGCATAAGGTAACAGGAGTTATGGGAACCAGGATATTTTTGTAGAAAAAACATCATTTTTCGACCCTCATTTGAACCCCAGGGTAAAAATGAAATTTCAAAACCTTGTTGCATATTTACTAGACACCAGAAATTATTTTTAAAAAGATAATTTGGCTATTGCATGGAATACAAGAGGAGATCTGGAAACAAATGGTTTTTTGGTTAAAAAACGTCGTTTTTTTGACACCCATTATTTGACCCCTAGTGTGAAAATAAAAATCCCTAAAACCTCATTGCACATCTACAGTACACCACAATTCATATTCCAAAAGATGAGTTGGCTTCTGCTTAAAATGAAAATGTAATGAGTTCGGGGAACCAGGGTTTTTTGTTGAAAAAACATCATTTTTTGGATTCCGCCCCCCCCCCCCCCCGGGTAAATTTCCAAAACCTTTTTGCATATCTATAGGACACCAGCAATAATCTTTCAATAGAAAATTTGGCCATTGTGTATATTTGTAAGAAGAGTTCTGGGAACCAGGGTGTTTTTGTAGATAAAAAACGTTGTTTTTCAACCCCCATTTGACCCCAGTGTGAAAATGAAAATTCCGAAACCTTATTGCACATCTATAGAACATCACAAATCATCTCGCAAAAGATGACTTGGCTGTTCGGTAAAATGTAAGAGGAGTTCAATGAACCAGATATTTATTAAAAACGTCATTTTTCTCCCTTATTCTGCCCCCAGGGTAAAATTGAAAATTCCAAGAGGTTATTGCACATCTACGCACACCCCCTATCATATTCCAAAAGATCAATTAGTTACAGCTTTAAATAAAAGAGGAGATTGAGAAAGAAGAAAGTGTGACAGACGGACAGATGGACCAGGTAAATAACAATATACCCGAACTTTCTTTAGAAAGTGCGAGTGTAATTATCACTGGAGATACTTGCACAGTGTCAGTGTGTTGGTGTGACCTTGTCCCACATAGAGATTGTTCTCATTATCAACACATACAGTACGGGGACAGCGTAGCCCATGTTGTCTTGTGAGTAATAGAGACAAGAACTGACCATCCTGATCAAGGAGGTGAACAGTGCCGTTGTAATCATCACAAACCAGGATGTGACCGAGGACATCAGTACAGATTCCATATGGAGAGAAGAATAAATCATGACCGGTGTAGGAGAACCTGTGTTGTCCTGATTTATTCACCACCACTACTGCATCTTTACCATAATCTGATGTACAGATATCTCCATTGATGTTTTCTGTGATGTAGCATGCTAGTTTATAGAATCTCTGTCTTTTGTTATTCCCCTGTATGTTCTGCAGTTCTTCTCCTGTCTTGTTGTACCTGGTGACTTTAGCCTCACTATCCTTCACCATCCCCACCAATATGTCCCCGTTGATGTGGGAGGAATATATGCTGAGTGGCTCCCAGTTTCCAGTTTTAATGAATTCAGTGATATTATTATCCTGTGTTATCCTATATATGACTTTATTGCTTCTGTCTGTAAAGATCAGATCCCCATCTTGTGTGACTGTGTGGAAACCTACATATTCATCATGTGTTTTTATCTTCTGTATCTCATTCCCCTGTAGATCTGTTTGGACAAGATTACCATGCCTGCCACTGATCCAGAGTCTGTCGGATTGACCTAGTGATACATGGAACACATCTTCAACACTTGGTACATTGAACTCCCTGACTGTGGTGACAGAGGCCGATAGAGACAAAGTTTGTTTCTTGCCAGATTTCTTTCTGTCCTCTTTCATCTGTTCATATTTCATTGTTGTATTGTACACGCTTTCAATGGGCCTTACTTCCCTCTTCTCTGTCTGAGTGTTAGGGACATGTATTTTACCAAGTAATTTGGTGACATCACTTTTGCTGTATTGACCAGCAGTAAATCCTGGTGTGACTGGTTTTGTTGTCTCTGGTATGGATCGGATCTTTGGCTTCTTCTCAGATATTAATTTCTGGGATTCTGTAGAGGACAGGCATCTGTGGAGCTCTTTGACAAGATTATTAAGATAAGTGATGTAATCATCAAATGTCTTGTCTTGGGTTTTTAGATCTTCTAACAGTGAATGCTCTATCTGATCTAGCTGCTTCATGTTGTCAGATACGACTGTGTCAACCAGAGATTTCAGGGTCTCACCTTCAGTCTTCATGTATTTTTTAATGTTGTCAATGATGTGTGTGATTTCTGAGGAATCTTTTTTAATTTCTTTCTGTAAATCTTGTGATGTGGATAGAAAATACTCCTGGATTTTGGAGATTTCCTCTTGTATGACTGCATATTTTTCTGCAAAAATTGTCTCTAGATCATTAAATATATGCCCCCGATGCTCTCTTTGTGTGACACATTTGCAACATACTGGAACTTGGCATTCTTCACAGAGCATGTCAATATCTTTAGTGGTGTGGATCTTGCATTTCTCCACAGGATGTTGTCGTTTACGTTGCTGGTAAAGGACTACCTCATGGTTCTTGTTTTCTTGACTTTTCAAATGTTCATCTCTGCATTGTTTGCACAATCTTTGATGACAAGGGTTGCAATAGAACTCGCAATTTCTTTCACATTCTTCCATGCCACATTCTAAAAAGTGTTGAGCTCTGCGGGGAATATCCATTTTAGATAAAGCCATCTGAAAATGATACAACAATATATTTGTTTTAGAAGAAGGCAAGTGGTAACATTTTGCAAAGGAAGGGGGGACTTAAAAAATTGACAAGCCAGAAAAACTCAAGTTAGTTAAGATTTATTATAGACGTTTCTATACAAATGAGCTAATTAAACGCATAAGGACTATACCAAACGTACAGAAAAATCTAAAACTTTTTTCTAACACAAACTTGGTACACACGACATGTGATAGCCAGTGCACATTGCATTATGACGTCATATTATGAAATCATCGTTCTCTACTACACAACTTTATTAGGAACATCAACAAAATAGCTTCGGCGCAAGGGCATACCTTATTTCACAGAAGCAAGATATAAATAGAAGCAAGATATTCTTAGGATTAATGATATTGCTGCACAAATATTGACAGTGCAATTGTTTAGTTACTATTTGTTTTGAGTTGAAACGAGGTAAAAATTCACAGTCCAGTGTAAGTTTCTTCAATTTTTTTTATGAAATTAGAAAGTGCATAGGATTTGTACGAAAGCCCAGAAGGCTCATTCGAGATTCGAGTTTCAAAATACGAGATTCGAAATTCGAGATTCGAAATTCGAGATTCGAGATTCAAGATCCAAAATAACCAATCAAAAGGCGGATTCAATATTTGATTACTCCCCTTTATTAAGTTTTTACTATCAAGAAATCACTGAATATATTGATAACAAATGGGTCATTTGCATAATTAATAATGCAAGAAAATATGTCATATGTATCAAAACAAAATACAAATGAATTTTGGGTAACGTTTTGTAAAATATGTATAAAATCTTATTTTCCTCATTAAGCAAAACAATAGATACATGTATAGAATATTATATGGTCTTATCGTTGACTTGCGAAATTAGATTGTATGTCGATAAATTATTTAATATGCACATTGATGAGGGAGGAACATATTATTGATATGAATTGCTGAGGATCGTCTTCACACTGCACAGAAATTTAATTACGGATACATTTCATTACATGTAAGGGTGAATTTGTGCAGTTAGACTGATCAACTATTTGATATGGAATAAGATAAATTTCAGTTTGTATTGTTTATATGATTTTTAATTAATTCAAGTATTCAAAACCTTAATTGAAAACTCAGTTTTTATGTTTTTCTCATATTGGGAAACAGTGGCGTATATTCCCTTCGGCTAATGTGTAAACTAATGTGAGGTCACAGATTTCACCTAAAGCGCATTATTGCCGAATTGCGGATAGGCAAGGAGGGAGTCGCCCCCTCTCAATAGAAGGGGGGGGGGGGTCGGAGGTTCACTTTCTGCGATCTTGGAGACATCTATCATTTTCATTTTTCCATTGAATATAATTATAAATCATTTAAACATATTTTTGTGATACAGAAATTAAAATCTTCATGACCACTTGTAATAAAATTGAGAAATTTTAAAATCCTTAAACAGTGCATGGAAATTATGGAAACTTCTTTACTGAATAATCTAAATATAATTTTTAAAATGTTTTATGTTTGACTCCCTACTAACCCAAACATATTAGTAGACTCCTGTTGATGTCATTTTTAATAGTCTGATATTGACTTCAGGGTAACATTTCAATTTTAGATTTAACCAGCTATAAAAATCTAAAGTTTTGTACACTGTAAAAATTGGATAGGCATAAAAGTGTGGATTGCTAAAAATACTTTCATTGAATTTGATGAAAATATATTCTAGTAACTGGTAAATGAATAAGATTTATGATCAACTTTCCCCCATTTTTCAATCAAATACATGTATAAATATTTTTTTTTTAATTTTTGCATCAAGAAAATGAAGGCTGCAGCCTTTTTGCCTATATGGAATAGACACCATTGGGAAAGCGAACGCGATTTTTCTTTATCACTACTACGATGTCTTTCAAGATTTTCTGTGTACACTAAAAAGGCATACATGCACTAAGTAATTTTAATACATGTACGTACTCATTTAGGCTATACGATTTTTTCAAAGTCCTTAAGGTGTATAGAGGGTGCATTTTTTTGTTAAAATAATTAATTTTTTTATCATTATTAAATACTTTCATATCTTTTTTTCTCTAGGGCCATTACATCATGTATTGAAACTTGTGTATTGATTGGTTATGTACCTTGCGAGACCCGAGCGGTTTCCTTATCAATAATTATCGAATATATAATTATTTTGCCCATGCATAGCAAGATTGACACTGAATGTTGATAACCGAACATTTGTCTACTGTTGTAATAAAATAAACAACATAGCCATAGGACCCTGGGCACGTGCCCCCCCCCCTCCCCATTCCCCTTATATTTTTTACCAATATAATTTACTGTAGAAAACATAGCAACTTTGTCCTTATGTCCTTTCAAAAATAACGTCTAATAACCGTGACAACTCCTTGTTTTTTTTTTTTTGGGGGGGGGGGGGAGGCTTTACAGTGATTTTTTTATTTTATTATTTCCTACGGGCCTGAACAAATAGAAATCATAATTTTTTTAAGCATGTATATTTCAGCTATCCGTACATGTACTTATGGAGCTGTCTCTTGGTTTCACAAACTTGGTCACTGGTCATTTTCTTACACCTTGTCACAAACTATATCCACTTTGAAACCCGTATTGCTAATTATTATTAATCGCTAGTCACTTGTCTTATTGCACACTTGAAACCCGTATTAGTCACTGGTCACTTTCTAATACCTTGTTACAAACTATATCCTCTTTGAAACCCTTAATTCTATTTATCATTAATCGGTAGTCACTTGCTTAATACGCCCCTCCCCCCTACTTTTGCCCTTTGAATCCGATTAACAATATTTATTATTATATGACATCGAACATGTAAACAAAGTAGATAATACGATATAGATATTCTTGATATAAATCTATTATAATATTTAAGAAGTTATAATATAAATTTAAGCATATTTTGCAGACCAAAAACCCAATATTTTTTCTAATTTCGTTCTGATATATGTAACACTCTTTCTTGCATTGTAATATAATCAAATGACCTCCTCGGTTTGAATATATTCAATTATTTCTTGAAGGTCAAAACTTAGCAAAGGGGAGTAATTGAATCTTAAACCGTCTTTTGATTGGTTAGTTTGGATCTTGAATCTCGAAACTCGAATCTCGAATTTCGAATCTCGTATTTCGAAACTGGAATCTCGAATGAGCCTTCTGGGCTTTCGTAGATTTGTGCAGCATTTTTAAAGAATATTCTTCTTAATATTATACATTATTTATTTAAAATGAAAGACGGTATGCACTTACACTGACTGTTTTGTTGATGTGTTTTATAACCTTGAGTGGTAAAGAACAATGACGTCATAATGTGCACTAGCTTATGCTGTGGGTACTAAGTATGTATTTATAAGAAAAAAACTTTCTCTGTATAAAAAAATATACATCTGCATTTTTATTTTTATTAGCTCATTTGCATAGAAACGCCTATACATAGCCTTAAGGACATACGCAACATAGTTTGAAATTTATTGTCTTTTTCCCTGGAATTGAAGAGTTCCAATACTTAAAGGAACTGTGTGCTACATTTTAGTGTCTATATATGCTGTTGTACACTTCTTCTAAAACAAGTCTGGATAAACAAAACATCTGGAATATATGTTCAGTAATTTTTGTATATTTTTCTTTGAATTATACAAGAATTTTCATCAATTGACATCTTTTCAAAACCCCTGGTAATGCATGCTGATTTTTGGTCTACGAACATCTGATGGCACTATTATCTTAAATTAAGAATATCTTGAAAAATTATCTGTAGGTAAGGTATGTTGTGTATGTCCCTTATTCACTTGCGAAGGGGGAGGTGGAACTGCCCAAACTCGAAAATCCTATTTTGGGGAAAGAGGTTGGGTGGACCTTTCTCTAAGGATCTTTTCAGTATCTTTTATATGCTGGAAATAGCCAATGTTCGACCTTATAGGAACAAGGTTGGGGGGGGGGGGGCAAACATGTAAATGAAAATTTACATATTTAAACATCATACAGCAAAAGACTATTTTCAGAAAATGCGAGAGAGAGAGAGAGAGAGAGAGAGAGAGAGAGAGAGAGAGAGATAAACAAAACTTCAGAAAGACATAACTAAATAAGAACATTAAACAGTTTCATGGTCTCCATATGCATAATACTAGTAGCATGTTACATGTACGTACGCAAGCAAAGGGAATGTAAATGGGACGGGGTTATGAAAACTGAGGCCTAAACAATTAAATGGTTCCCCCTTTCCCCTCCTCTGCCAATCAAAAATTCCTGGATTCGCGAATTCGGTCGCGAAATGACCGCACTTCGCCTAAGTCTTGCACCAATTTTGAAATGTGAATTTTTGAAAATTTGAAATAATGGCAAACCCTGGTAGTTAGAAAACTGAAAATTTATGTAGGGACTAAAAAATACAGTCGTCGTTTGCAGTCGCTAGTAAACCTTTTGAGGATTATGTCTCAATATTAATGTTTAAGTATATATCTTTGTAATTCGCTTATGATTACCCATCATATAATGACTTTCCGTAATTCTTTCATAATATGCGTACATGTATACGTTCATGAATTCGGCTGTCTTTAAATCGTATTTTTCATATGGTTGGATCATAATATACGTGAACTCCTGTTAATTGATTTTCTTAGTACACATTTAAGAGTAGGAATATTACCCCCCCCCCCCCAACACTTTTAAGACTTTGTTTGATTGATAATGCTTTCTAGCATAGTTCAATTGGTTCGGTTTCATAACAAGTGTATTAAGGTCAAGATCTAGTAATTGAGTTTTTACTGTCTTTTTGATGCGAAGTCCATTATGACGTCATAATCAATTTAAACTTACTTTTTCCCGTATTCTACGGCTGTAATAGAATTTTGTAGAAAATGAAGCATTTTCATGGAATTCAATTTGAAATCATGTCAAAAGTAACCCCGATACCTACATTCAATTTAATATCATTTTAAAGTAGAGGTCAAGAAGATACGAAAAATCATTTTCTGAGAGAC